CACATATTTTTTATCATTTTCTTTTTTGTTTTTCTTGGTCAAAAGAATAGCGGGAATAAAATTGGAAAAACATAAAATTAATCTTCCACCTGAATGACCAATCTCCAATCAACTTGGATTAGATCTACAGTGAAGCATTTTAGTAAAGCTGTTAGATCCAAAGGCTTCCTGGGACAAGGTTTGTTGATTTTGAACTTCCTCATCATGGGATTCCCTTCTTTGCTTGATTCCTTTTGTTTGACTGTGTTCCATGCTTTGGTAATGGGTTTCATTTCTAGACTTTGCCTGTTTTTGGATATTCAACGTTAGTAGTTGCTGTAGAATGGTTTCTTTTGATACTTAATTCATGCTCTTTTCCATGATAATCCACTGATGGGTTCACTGATTTTGTGTCAAAATTAGTTTTTGACTCTTTGTAGATAATCACGTGTGAATTGGACTTTTTATTGGTATAATTTAAATTACTGATTTTTTTGTTATTATTATTATTATTATTATTCTGGGGGCAGGATCAATTGGGAGATGTTTTGCATTCGGTAAGTGGTAGCTCTTGTATGCGGTTTGCTATGGGGTGCAATACCTTTGGTTGGGTATTGATGAACCCAGCACAGCCGTGCTAAGTATCAACGAAACCCAATAGACTTGGCTGTTCAACGAAACCCAGCTCTGTTGGGTTCGTTGGAACCTAGATCTACTAGGTTCCATCGAACCCAGTTGCTGGGTTTAGAGTTAGGTGCTATTGATTTCCATTCTTGTTTAAAGTTGGATTTGTCAAGTTCACCATGTTTTTTTCATTCTTCTTTCAATTCCCATTCTCAACTCTTGATAAATTTGGGAGTTGATTTACAATTTGATTGCATTTTTGTTGGAATTTGATTAGGGTTTGATTGATATTGTTTATTGAGGAATTAATTTGAAGGAGCGGAGGTGAGAGAGCATTAAGAGAACAGGATGATATGGGTTAAGATGGATTTGTAGATGAAGTGGCGATGAGAGAGCATTTGAGAGTTTTTTTCTTTTTCAGGTAATGTGAGACCCATTTGAGGGACTTTCACACGTTTTAATATAACATGATATGATGTTTTGTTCATATCAGCACTTTTTTAAGTTGTGCTATCAATGTCATAAAAAAAAGATATAAAATATACCACGTAGACGAAATTAATAGTCTAAACTGACAAAAGGACCAACATTATGCATTCCTTAAAATTGAGGGATCAAAAAAGTGCAAAAAATTGTTGAGGGATCAAAAAAGTGCAACTCTATAAAGTTAAGAGACCAAATTTAACATTTAACCTTAATTTTACTCCAATTGATATCATGATTAAATTATCATTCTTTTTCTCCAACTATAGCAAATCCTGATAAAAAATATTCTCCTCCTAATAATTGCTTAGGTAGGCCCAGTCACTCCAATGCAATGTTTCGCTGTCTTTGTTTAACATTATGTTGTCTTTTTTTTGTTGCATCCTATATTAGAGAACCAAGAACAAAAACAGAGGATCGAAACATGAAAAAATTTGATGGCCAAAAAAAAAAAGAAAAAAGAAAAAAGAAAAAAAAAGAAACCACAAAACAAACGAATTATGAATATACATTGAAAAATGGAGTCCCTTCGTCCGTTACATCCATTTTTGTTAACATCAAAACATCAAAACAAACTACACCCCAAAAACATCTTGAGAAAAATCCGTAAATGGGGGTCAGAATCTCCTCAAATGAGTTTCAACCAAGAATTAAGGAAAAAACCCCAACTTGAAGCATGTCTTCATGTTCCTTGCCTCTTCATGTTGCATCCTTTTTTTTTTTTGGTTTTCATCTCGTTCTTGGGTTGTGCTCATGGTCCCCCTGAGAAACCAGTCATAGACTCTCCTTTATTGACAGAGAAAATTGCCTCCAACAGAACTATTGTGGTTGATATCAATGGCAAGGGAGATTTTACGTCTGTCCAAGAGGCCATTAATTCTGTTCCAAGGATAGATGGATTGTTATCCATGTTAGAAAAGGGGTTTATAGGTAAAAATTCAATCTTCCTATTGGATTTCTCTAAGGTGTTTTTGTTGAATGTTTCCAATGATTTATTTCCATGGTTTAACGGTAGAGAAAAGGTGCATGGGCCAAAGAACAGACCATGTATCTTCATGAGGGGTTATGGAAGAGGAAGGACAGCCATTGTCTGGTCGCAAAGTTCTTCTGATAATAAGGCCTCTGCAACACCGCGCCATAGAAGGCCCCGATTTTATTGCCTTTGGCATTAGCTTTTTCGTAAGAGATTAGTGCTTTTCAGTACAGACAGCATTAAAAAAAAGTGCAATTTGGGTACTAAGGAAAACATTTCTGTTTTGGTGATGCATTTCTTTTTGTACTATTGCAAATCCATGGATTTTGATGCACCTAAATGAATTTATGTAGTTTTCTTAGTTCCATATTACATTAGTCCCTTTCTATCCTAAATATGCATACAGGGATAACCAATTTTTTGCATGATTCATATATTTTCTTTAGTCTGGACGTAGAGGACTTCTGAGATGCTTAGTAAAATTACAAAACTGAAAAAGCTGGCACTGTTAAAGGAACTTTAGAGCTTAACAAACAATTGGGCATACTTTGGCATTCATATTAATTTTCTTCCTTTCTTCGGAGGCCAATGCAGAATGAGGCTCCCACTGGAGTTGCTTATACCTCATCACAGAATCAATCAGTGGCAGCGTTTGTGGGTGCAGATATGGCTGCATTTTACCATTGTGCATTCTTCAGTATCCACAACACTTTCTTTGATTACAAAGACAGACATTACTATGATAACTGCTACATCCAAGGTTCCATTGATTCCTTTTTTGGCCGTGGAAGGTCCATGTTTCATGTAAGTATGTATGACACATTTAAATTCATTTTAAGTTTGACCACTAATGGAAAAACTGATTGTCACTGCAACTGATTGTGGATAATGCAGGATTGTGAGATCTTTGTGATTGATGACAAGAGAGTAACAATTCATGGGTCCATAACAGCTCAGACAAGAAAGAACAGACTTGATAAGAGTGGGTTAATTTGTGTTTGTTAAAGGAAAGGTTTATGCCATTGGTGATGTCTACTTAGGAAGAGCCAAAGGTGCATGTTCCACTGTGGTTTTTGCAAAGAAGTAATTGTCCAAGACCATTGTGCCTCAAGGTTGGACCAACTGGAGCTACGATGGTCACACTGAGTAAGAAAACTCTCACTTCCCCGTCAATTATACTACACTAACTCTTCATTAATACTATATTCTAACAAATTTATTTGAATGGAAACAGAAATCTATTTCATAGGGAATACCAGTGTCATGGACCGGAACTGAAACAAAAGATCGCGCCCCATGGTGGAAAGCACTTACAGATGAGGAAGCTGCACACTTCACAACCATTAACTTCATAAATGGAAAGGACTGGCTGCCTGTATGGCTATAAAGTTCATCCTGGTCATCTGGAAGTGGGATGGTTCTGTATCATAAATCTCACAAGAACAGTAGACGTCACGAAAATGAGGCCTATGCTTGAATGAATTCAGAAGAAAAATCATCATCTATGGGTAAAGAAACTTTGCAATACATTTGCAGTGAGTTGAAAGTGTCATAATCTCAAAATTTGTATTTTCCCAATTCATTTATATGTTAAATAAGTTAGTTACTTCTGTTGGCAAGAATTTGGTAAAGCATTTATTGCTGCATTATGTTAGTCAATTATACACATTTATAAAAGTAAAGATTTATTTATATATAAGTTTGTAAATTATATCTATATAAAATTTTAATAATTTATTTTTTTATTTTTAATAATTAAAATTTATTTATATTTATTAAAAATAAATATTTTTTTATTTAAAAAATTATAATAAATTTTAACTATTAAAAATAAAAAAAAATAATTAAAATTTTATATAAACATAATATGAAATTGAATCTTTCCTTTATTTATAATATTATACCATACACAATTATAAATTTATAATAATATATCATTAATAAGTAAATATATAAAATATAAATGAATTAAAATTAATTACATAATAAAATATTAAAATTGCAAGTTTAGTATCGCTCTATCATTTTTGTGGGCCATAATGGTCAAGGATGCAAGAAAAAGGTACATGAGCTTTAAAATAGGATTCGATACTTTTTTTTTTCCCATGTTGGAGCCTTTTATTTCATTCGCAATGTTGATAAATAAAGTAGTGAATATATCACTTGGTACATATATATTTTTGATTCCCTGGAGCATGTGGCTACATGTTACCTAGCTTAATGAAATTTGGATTTAAAATCCGCCACCAACTCCTCCTCCAGCACCACCACCGAAGCCCCCACCAGCGCCTCCACCTACACCTCCTCCAGCTCCGCCACCTCCACCAAATCCTCCTCCTGCTCCACCGCCACCCCCAACTCCACCTCCAACACCGCCACCAGCTCCAACTCCTCCACCAGCACCACCACCAAAACCTCCACCTGCTCCACCACCAACACCTCCACCAGCACCTCCCCCTAATCCCCCTCCTATTCCAGCCCCACCACCTGCACCACCACCACCACCAAGACCTCCACCTGCTCCACCTCCAGCTCCACCACCAAGGCCTCCACCTGCACCGCCTCCAGCTCCACCACCAAGGCCTCCACCTGCACCGCCTCCAGCTCCACCACCAAGACCTCCACCTGCACCGCCTCCAGCACCACCACCACCACCAACACCCCCTCCTATGCCACCACCCTTTCCGCCTCCAATGCCACCCCCGGCACCTCCACCTGCACCACCTCCAGCACCACCACCAAGACCCCCTCCTATACCACCACCTTTTCCGCCTCCAAAGCCACCCCCGGCGCCTCCACCAGCACCACCACCAAGACCCCCACCAGCACCACCTCCACCACCAGCACCCCCACCTAGACCACCACCTCCACCAAGGCCTCCTCCTCCACCACCACCGAAACCACCTCCAATGTTATCCTTCTCAAGTCTCGGCCGGCACTCAGCTACCCCAATCACAAACAACACTACTAGCAGACCTACAGTTTTATAAACTTTCCCCATCTTTCTATAACAGCAAATAAGCTGAGAAATTGAAAGAAAGAAGATTGTTTTGCCCACTAAGAATTAATCCAGCCCCTTCTTATAGTGCACGAAAAACGCGTACGTAGAGGATAGGAGAAAAACCATTTAATGCATGCAGTTGATTAGTTTGAAATTTCCTTTTTCTTGCATGTGATCTTGTACTACAACTAGTAATGATATATTCGCTTAATGTAAAGGTGCAAATTTTCAACACATTTTGAAAAGAGATACCAAGCGGCAGGTGAACTCATAAATTAAGCCGTCCTGTCCTCTCAACTACTGAACTTAATGCGATGTCGCCACCGTCGCGTGGACACCACCTTTAGGTTTCAAGTCCACGGCCGGTGGGGTTCTCCTCTGTAATTGCATTTGGCGTATAGAATAAATTAATCAAGACTACCAACAGCAATATTCATACGATATTAAATCAAAATAGAAAAATTAAATATTTTGTTTTATAACTCAAAAAAAAAAAAAAAAAAAGAAGAAAAACTCAACTCGAGACTATCAATTTCTTCGCAGGTGGTGTACGTATAAATATATTAATTTAATTGAATGTATTAAGTTGTCCTTAAGATGTGTTTTTAAAATTATTTAAATATAAATAAATTTAGAGATTCTTTCAAATTATATTAGTAACACCCTAATCATTAAAGAAAAAGAGAAAGCTGGAGCACCAACAAAAGATGCAATATTTATCTTGCTACAATTTTTCTTACTAAATGCCTGTTTGACTGAAGTTTTTAATAAAATTTTTATTGAAAAAAAAAATTGTTGTAGGAATACTGTTTTTATAAATAAAAATAAAATAATAATAATAATAAAAAATTAAAACTTAAATGAAAAGTTTCTGCAGAAGTATCAATTCTATACTTCTAAGATTTGTAATAAAATAAACAAAAAATTAACTTGTAAAAAGTTATAGTATTTTTTATTTACAAATTATAGTGTTTAGTGTAATAGGAGTTTTTAGAGTTTAAAAGAATTTTCCACTTACTATACCAAACATACCCTAAATTTTAAATATATTTTTTTAACATGTACTTTAAGAATATAATTAATATATTTGTTAACATAAATTACTAATTAGTATTGAAAATGAAAAAAAAAATCGAAATTAATTTCATCAATAATATCATGCAAATCTTTTAATTAAATAGTTAATTAAATAAAACTTAATTTTTAGTTTTTTTAATAACATAATTAATAACAAAAATATACCCTTATATCATGTCTTCAGCGCATATATTAAAAAAACCATTTTAAATTGCAAAATGCGAAACAACTGTCTTCCTCGTCTCATTTGCCTCATTAAATTCACTTTCTCGATATATCTTCTTCTTTTGGGGTTCAATTTCTTACTGATTTCGTACGTATTGGACTCTTAGGTCTCTTCTATAATTAGACATGGGCTATAGAAAAGGTGTAGCAGCCCATTGATACAGGCCCGACTTTTCTTCTTAATGGGCTCCAGTGGCCCACCTCACTGGCATAGCCTTGTCCTCTTCAACGAAACTTCGACATGGAGAGCCGAAGCTCAGAGTTTCAGAGCCGAACAAACCCTAGGGTTTTAGCTTCCGAGGAACGTCAATGGAGGCTGGAGACGAAGGCGTAGATAGAGTGGTAGACTCAAAGGACTTGCAGCAACAAAGCAAGGCACTCGACAAGCTCACCGACCATGTGGAGGACCGTCAGCTCGATTCTTCCCGAGTCCAAACGGTATTCTTTTGTTCCTTTTTCTTCCAATTTCCTTTTGATTTGAGTTTTGGATGTAATTGGAAATTGGAATTGTAGAAATGAATTTTAATGTCTTGTTTGTTGATGGGCGTGGGTATGAATTGGCAGGCAATGGCGTCGATTGCTGCATCAAAAGAAGCAGATTGGAATGCTATGAGAATGAGGTCTGATATATTTTCCTTCAGTTTTCTCAGTTCTATGTGGACTAATTTTGTTATGATCCCTGTTTTGCATTTAGATTATATTGGACTGTAAAACAGGAACAATTGGATTGGGATGGCCCCCAATATCAGAGATCCATCCCCCATCCAGTGGTTTAAGATTGCACAACACTTTTTGTTTTGTTATTATTTATCAGCGTAAATATTGGAAATTGGTAGTGTTTGTGGAATGGATGTTGATGTTGAGTTCTTGATGCAACCCATTAATGTGAGTTGATTAAGGGAATTTTTGTGCTAATTAGGCTGGTGAGATAGTTCATTTTGTCCTCTCCACCTGGATGAATGCTTTTATGCAAGACTTGTTAATCTCATTTATGTTGATAAAAAAGACACTAGATGAGTTTACATTTCAAGAAGCTAGCGGGAATCAGTTGTTTGCCAAATGCCAAGTTGAAGAAGGACTGGGCTAGCTCTTCAGTGTGAAAGCTGGTTACTTCTGAACTCCCAAGATTAAGCTTATGGATGAGTTTGAGTCGAATTAATAAAACAGATAAAGGTTTTGTATAAATGACCTGCATAAAACATATGTTTTAGTGAATTCTGGGTTTCAACCTATGTAATGCAAGAAAACAACAAGTGGCATACATAAGGTGAATTTATTTGAACATGGGTATTAGGGGCTAGTTTTAAGCTTGTGCTGGATTGATATGAGGCAAAATAAATAGTGCTGTAGCATATTTCAATGTGGATATTGTGTTTTATGCATTGATTTTAACTTTGTGAACTTATGTAACCGGATAGTTTTTCTTTTATTTCATCTGTGAGAGTGAGAGTGAAGATTTTCTTTTACTTTATCCTATAATGTGGATCAAACGCCTGAGATGTCATCACTGAAGTGTATGACTGGACTCTCATTTTGCAATTAATAATTGAAAATGGCTATTAATTTGTGACCATCGTAGTGAGTGGAACAACTTTACCATATCCTGAATTCCCAAACCCATTCTCAACATTTCTTTGAATGTTTATAACTGGCTAGTTTTGTGAAGCAAACATTTGTTTGTTCCATGCAGAGAAAAGGAATTGGCTGCTGTTAAGATCAATTCCGCTGATGTTGACATCATTGCAAATGAACTAGAGGTTAGTTCTCTTTTATTATCTCTACTCTAGAACATGTTTTCCCTGGTATCAGCCAAAGGATTCTAATACTTTCACTTTTTCTTTGTTGAAAATAGTTGGACAAAAAAGTAGCAGAGAGAACCCTACGTGAGCACAAAGGTGATGCTGTTGCTGCAATTAGGTCTTTGCTTCACTAGAGATTCATCCCATGAAATAAGACCTTGATTCCCAATTATTGTTGTTGTTTTTTTATTTTAGTCTGTATGATGAATTTTGTTGATATATGAACATAATTAGATGTTGTTTTACAATTAAGAGTATAAACCTTGTAAAACCATTTCTTCGTTTCTCACATGAAAATTTTATTTATAGTCTGAATTGTAGAAAACATAAAAATGTTTTCTGGTGCCAAGATTTAAGAAGTTTATTTCTATTCATGAAAAATTTAACCCCTTGAGGTCATTAAATATTTCGAGAAAGTGAATTTAATAAGGCAAGCGAGACGAGGAAGACAGTTGTTTTGCATTTTGCAATTTAAAATAGTTTTTTTAATATTTATGTTTTAAGGATGTAAATTAAGAGTATATTTTTGTTATTAATTGTATTATTAAGAAATAAATAAATAATTTTTATTTAATTAATTATTTAATTAAAAGATTCACATAGTATTACTGATGAAATTAATATTGATTTTTTTTTATTTTCAATACTAATTAATAATTTATGTCAAAAAAATATGTTAACTATACTTATAAAATACATATTAAAAAAATCTATTTAAATTCAAAAAAGAAAAAAAATTACCAAGAAAAATATTGCATCTTTTGTTGGTCCTCCTTATTTTTTTCTTTGAAGATTAGGGTGTTCTTAAAATAATTTGAAAGAATCTCATAGTTAATTCATCTTTAAAATAATAATTTTAGGGACACATCTCATAGCTGACTTAATACATTCAATTAAGTTAATCCATTTATACATACACCACCCACGAAGAAATTGATAGGCTCGACTTTTTCAATCTTTTATATATATATATATATATATATATATTTTGAGTTGTATAAAATATCGTATGATTGAAATTGATAGGCTCGACTTTTTCAATCTTTTATATATATATATATATATATATATATTTTGAGTTGTATAAAATATCGTATGATTGCAGTTGGTCGTCTCCATTAATTTATTTTATAGGCCAA